AGGGGTCCGCTGCGCCCTGGGGTCACCTCGGGCGGGGCCCGAACTTGCACTGAAGCGGCTGCAGCCAGGTTGCAGCTCTGTACGCACGCCCGGGGAGGCCCGCGTTTGTTTGATTTCTACGTCTATGGGTTACAGGTCAGTGCACAAGAAGACAGTTTTTTAAAAAAAATAATAGGCACCTTTATTTTTCCATCATTTTGTGCCCTTTTCCATCTCATTTGCAATCCCCGTGGGCGTCCCATCTCCAAATCACCCTGTGCCATCACCACAGTCCAGTGCATTTCCGTCCCCCCCGCCCCGTTTTTGATCCCAGCCCCCACTGCACCCCCATAAAATGTCTCTGGCATATAGCTGTTCATTATTATTATTGTTTTAAGACAATTTTTTGTAAGTCCAGATGGAATTTCCGAGGAAGGGACGTCTCAGAACGACCTAGAGAGAGAAAAGTGCCACAGTGGAGAAGCGGGAAGTAGAGAAGGGAAGGAGGGGGGAGTGAGACAGGAAGAACAGAAGGGCCCGAGGGTGTGGGGAGCCCAGCCCCAGTGAGGCTCCCTGGGATCCGTCACAGCACACGTCACTGTTGGCACCTGAGGGTTGGGACGGCCCAGTGCCAGAGCCCAGCTTCCCAACTGGCGAGCTCTCCAGCGTGGCCCTGCGGCACAGCCAGCCCGCCCTGCCCGGGGGCCGGAGAATGCCCACAGGCCCTTCCGTAGGTCACGGTGGCACATCCTGGGTGGTGAGTGCCCGGGCAGCAACAGCATTGCCTATCATTACATACTTCCCTGTCCCGGCTGCATAGTACTCCAGCCTGTGGCTGTGCTATGATTTACTTAATGAGCCTAGTTCAAAGAGATGACAGGCCCAGGCGGAGGCATTTCTGCTTAGTCCCACACTCCCAGACCAAGACTTAATTACGGTGCCAGTGCTCCCAGGAGCGGAATCGTAAACCAGTCCGCCTGGCATGGCCGGGCTGGCACCTGCTAGTCCCGCCTCCCTGACAGGGCGCAGCCTGGCCGCGCAAGGCCCGTCCCGTCTCCTGTGGCCGTGGCTCCTTGGGGCTGCTCGGTGCATACGTCACAGTAAAGTCAGGATGTCGTCTCGGTTAAGATTTATTTATTTATTCATACAAGAACAGGCCAGAGATGGGGTGAGAAGACGCAGAGTGGGAGCAGGACAGGCCGACGGACTGAAGCCCACGGCTGAGGGGCAGCGGGGAGACGGGAGGTCTGCCGCGCCTGGGGTCCCTCCCTGGCCGGGGGTCAAACTCGTGCTGGGGGCTGCGGCAGCTTCACGATGCCGCGCTTTAATCTACTGCACCACCAGGGAGGGCCCCAAGTCAGGATTTTGGCACTGACCCGCCTGGATTTCCACACCCCGGGGCGGGTGTTTAGGGGAGCGGTTTCCGCGCTGTCAGGGTGGAACCACGCAACTTCACGGCTGGCTCGTATGCTGCCTCTGGCCGTCTCCGAGTGACCCACCCCGGAGCCTCGGCAGCCTCAGGGGCATGTCCTGGGCCCTGGCCCGCTCCTTTGGTGAGACTAGGTGCAAGGCGGGGTTTTCACTGACGGAGCTTGGGGTGACCGGTGTTGTGACTTTCCTCTGGGAGTGTGTTCCACTCACTGCCGATTCTTGCCTGTGGCAGCACCCCAAGGTGCAGAAGGGCTCTGTGGAGTAAAAGGTGTGCCCCCATAGTTCCAGCAACGCAAGCAGAGCGAGTCCCCCGAACCCCGCTTGCAGGTGCGCGGTGACCCCGGGCTGCCCGCTCCGCACAGCCCCTGGTGGGGAGGGCCCAGGCGCCCAGTCTCACAGTTCATCCCGCAAACGAGGGCGGGGTGACAGCGTGCAGGCCCCGCGGGGGGGTCCGCTCCCTGCCCCGCCCCGCCGAGTAAAGCCCGTGCTGTCTTTGCCTCAGAAAGCAGAGGAAATAGCAGTAGTGGTGGGAGGCGAGGCCTTGGCGTCA